TCTGCTAAGACGAAAATAAGTAAGGGACTTGAGTTTAGTGCACCCTGGTGCCAGAGAGAAGCTGTGGTGGACATGGTGGAAGCAACAGGAGTCAACCCCACCAGGAAATGCAGAGGCTGACTCCACAAGAGTCAGGGAAGGCCTCCCACCTGGAATTTCCTTTCTAGATTTTCCTGGCTTCCAGAATTTTCTTTGGCTGTGATAATGGAAACCATCTTCTGGGCACAGACAGGACTTCCACACCTAACTGTTCCCATTTATCAACAAGCTAGGAGATCCTCCATTCATCTCCACCCTCCTATCCGTAGGCACCATCTCCATATTGGAGTTTCCTATGCAGATTTTATCCATAGAATATTTCAGTGTTTGACAAGTACAATGTATGGCCTCATCTTTCTTCCTTATACTGAACAAGTAGATGCTCTTGGGCTGAGCCCAGGGGTGGAGCCCCGCAAGCTCCGGGCCAGGGTAAGGGTTTGAGCAGAGCACCAGGAGAGGACTTCCTGTGCAGGTCAGAGCCCTTGGTCCAGTTCCTCTCCAGGGAGCCCCATCTGCTACTCACATCGATGAGCCGCTGCTGATCCTGCTCCGTCATCTCGGACAGCTTGTAGTAGCGGCCAGCCAGGTCCCCCTTGAGGCCCTCCAGGGCGGTGATGGCCACGTTCTCCACCTCCCTCCGCTCCGCCCGGGTGCAGGCGGGCGGCAGGCTCAGCCCACGGATGCTGCGGCCGGTGCGTACCCGAGAAGACAGCACATAACGCTCATCGAACTGCCCTTGGGTGATCTGCCAAGCAGAGTGTGGGGTCACTGCGGCCAGCCTCAGACCACGGTCCTGCCACAGCCACAGTGGGTTCTAATCTGCTCATCCGCAGTTTCCTTGGGGACCCTCAGGCACTGTGCACGACTGCACAATCCATAAGTTGGATACCTTCCATAAGTCTTGGGGCAGGGGCCTTCGACTAGTAAAGAGGAAAGCTGTTTTAAATGGTGTGGTCTGGGGTCCTTGAACGTCACTGGGTGGTTTGGGATGAAAAAGGGAGTAGCTTTAGGAAAGGTTTAAAGTTCCCAATGACCAACCCTTCCCTGGTTGTATTTATTTAAAAAAACAAAGACTTTGGGACCTTCCTAACCACCTTCTCTGTGACCCTCCAGGGGGAAGGCTGTGCTAGGGCAGTCAGTGCTTTCCAGGGGTATCTGACTCAGAAACTCAGGGTTTCCAGGGAACCCCTCTCTCCAGGGCTCTTCCCCTTGGGCTCTGGAGTGCCAGCTTCGTGGGGAGGGAGAGGGAGGCTGGAGCTTACCTTGGATGCATCCAGATCCGTTGTGTGCTTCATCACTCTGGGGTCGTAGCCATTGTGTCTTAGTTTGATGACGGGGTCAAAAAGGTCAGCAAACACCTGCAGGAGGGAAGATGGGCGTTTCCTCTTTAATTGGTTCACCTACTATTCAAAGACCTTTCCATTCACTTGCCCCTTCTATCTTAAAAGCCAAACTTGATGCCCTCCTCTGAAATTCTCAGGACTATCATGTAGGAAATGAATGTGAGAATGGATTGGTTAATAATAATAATAACAAGAGAGAAAGCCTTTTGGAGGCATCTTGCCCCTTGAGACAGGGTGGAGCTGGTGAGTTCTGTTATCTTAGCCTCCCCTGAGTGATTCTACCAAAATCACTGCCATCAGACTGAGCAAGAAAATTCTTACGGTTAGGAATTTAAGGAGTTTCCTAGACATGTTTGCCTTTGTGGGTTACAAGAAGCTACCTGATCAGAGGCTACACAGTTTTATGCTTAAGGGAAAGTCAGATTCTAAAGATTAAGCTACATATGAAATCTGTTGAAAACCTGGCTATGCCAGAAGAAAAGTACATAGCAGCAGTTCAGGCAAAGCAGGGACCTCTCACCCTGTGCGGACCTTCCCCAGCCCAAACCATCTCGTACAAAATCTATTCTATAAACAAAACCTCAGGCATATCCTTTACGTTTAAAAAAAAATGTTAAAAGTTGTTGTAACAAAGCACCCTGCAGACTTTGGGAGCTCTGGGAAGTGGGGAGGGCTTTGGGTCCATAGAGCTACCGATAGCTTGGGACCCAAACTAGACCCAGTGTTCTGCACTGCTGTACACAAATGAGCCACCAGTCGTGTTTATTCAGATGGCTCCCTCTCTTCTCTATGGCTGCCTTTCTAGGGAACTGCCTTCAGCTCCCTGCAACAGAAGAACCCAAACAGAAGAACCCAAAAGGGTGGACCTGAAGGAGGAGGGCTGCAGGCATTTGCCTCAGCCAAGAGGCTGCTCTGTGGAGGGGATGCATGGTGGCTGAGCACTGTTCCAGCCGACCACCCTGTGCTTCAGCATTGAGGATGAGGATGCCAAGGTCATGGGATTTATCCAAGAGACTTGGTGAATTCAGTAGTCTGGGCTACAGTGATTGTCTAATCAGTAATAGGAGAGAATTCAATAATAGAAGTAATAAGAGGAGAATTCTTCATATAATAGAAGTAATAAGAGGAGAATTCCTCATGTTCCTAAAGGTACACTGAACCCTCCTCCCGACCCCCACCCAATAAAGCTCAGCCACAAACACATCAGCTCCTAATGTCTTACTGGTGAATACACACCATTTGATATTATTGTTTCTGTACCAACTCATCCCCTCGACAAGCTCAGAGTTCTGTCATGCAATTCATTCCTCCACAAGGAGGGATCTTAGCATAGCAGCAAGGGAAGCCTTGTCCCTGGGAAGCTATAGACCTCATTGTTTCTGAAAGCATTCCAGATGGTTCTGCTAGAGTTGGCTTCCCTTTATGGGAGCCCTTCCTGAGAAGGTAGAAAGTTGGCCCCATAAAGAAGAAAAGGACCCCAGGACTGTGCAATTCAGTCATATCCAGAGTATCCCTCCCACCCTGGAACCAGCAGCCAATAGTTTTACCTCATAGGACTCCTCGTCACCAGCCACCATGCCCACGGTCTTTATGAAGGGGTGGCCGGGGTTGTCCACTCCAGTCTGGATGCACTGGTCCAGGGTGTAGCCGTTGGGCGTCACCTTGTTGCGAAGCTTGGCATAGATGGCAGGGGTGAGGCACTCAGCCATGCAGTTGTTGTGCTTGCGCAGGTCTGGGTAGTCTGCGCTGTGTGGGGAGGAGGGCAAGCTGTCAGCCAGCAGCCCCTGAGGAAAGGGGCCAATGGAAGGACTTGGTGTTTGCCTATCCTTCCACTAGGCTCCCTTCAGCCAGCAGGCACAGGGATACTTGGCTAGAACTGCCCAGGAGTCATAAATGAAGACACCAGGTTTCAAAAAATGAGCAAGTTCCACAAGAGCAAGGACTTGCCTTTTTGAGAACAGTCCCTGGCTATTGAAACCAGTGTTCAGTAAATATCTTCTGGAATAACAGAAATCAAATTGGGTGCTGTCTCACCCTGGGGTGTGTACTGATTGAGGATTAGGAGATTCAGGACCACCACAGCCTTAAACACAGGTCATGTCACCTCAGGAATTCCCCAGGTACATGGTGGTTGCTGGCGATTCCCTCAGAGATCCTGATTTCCATAAGAGACAGTAAATGTCTCTAAGAGACACCTCAGTGGTTTTCCTCGTCTCATCCATACCTGCCAATGTGGAATTCTGCATGCCACTCAAACTCTGCTCAGCGCACAGTATCTCATGCATGGCAGGGTTCCAAGGGCTGAGAAAACACGTCTATTTTCATCCCTCTCACGCCACTCCTCCACCTTCCATCTGCAATGTCCTTTAGAGCTGACACTTACAGTCAGTACTACGACATCCCTTTTTTCCAGAAGGAGGTAGAGCAGTGAGAGAGGCATGGGTCTGGAACTGGGGGGCCTGGATTTGCATTTGGCTGCAGTAGCTATGTGAACTTGGGCACTGTATAATTTTTCTAGGACTTTATTTCATCACCAAAGGATGCTAAGATGAATAAGATACTCCATGTAAAGTGCTGGTCATACATGAAAGTGTTCCACAAATGTTAACTATCCCCATTATTACTATTCAACTGGACTGCAAGCTCTAAGCAAGAATGATGATGCTACACTTCTTTGTATACACCACAGGTCACTGGTTTAATGAGCCTCAAAATGATTTTCCGTTTTACTTAGTCTTCCTCAAAAGCAAAAAGGACCCTTGCTAACAGTTTCCAGCAGGAGAAGGCATATTTCTTGCTGGTCTTTGAAGCTTTTCTGTTTGTTTTAGTTTGTGTTTGTTTTGTTTGAGACGGAATCTTGCTTTGTCGCCAGGTTGGAGTGCAGTGGTGCTATCTCGGCTCACTACAACCTCCGCCTCCCAGGTTCAAACGCTTCTCCTGCCTCAGGCTCCTGAGTAGCTGGGACTACAGGCGTGCGCCACTATGCCCAGCTAATTTTTTTGTATTTTTAGTAGAGATGGAGTTTCACCATGTTGGCCAGGATGGTCTCAATTTCTTGACCTCTTGATCCAGCCTCCCAAAGTGCTAGGATTACATGCATGAGCCACCGCACCCAGCCTGAAGTTATTTTAAAGTCAGGAGCCCTTACCTTGGAGGGAATAACCTGGGCTGCTCCCGGATCTCGGCACACACTTTCTGCCGGTTCAGCAGGTACCCGGTGGTCAGGGCACTGGTGCCCATGGTAGCAAACAGCAGAGAAGCATTGCGGCCAGTTAGCAACTTAGAAAAGATACTGGCCATGTTTCCTCTTGGATGAGTGTCTGGAAAGCAGAGAAGCTGGATTAGATAGCTGCATAGGATGACCCTGAGCCACAGCGTAGAGGTCAACAGGCAAGAGAACCGCAGGAGCCATAGCCTCTCTTTCCAGTTTTTCTGTCTCTCTGTCTGTGTGTCTGTGTGTGTGTGTGTGTGTGTTTTCTGTTTCTTGCTTTGCTTTTTTCTTCATATTGCTTGGGAAAATCTGGGTAGTTTTAAACATTAATGTCTAAACTTCCTTAACGCCATGCCTTCTCTCTGTTAATATGACAAAAAATAACAGCACAGGATGTCTTCTTCCAGCTATTTGACAGACCAGGTGCTCTTTTGAACTTCGCCACTGCATCACAACTAGACCCTGAACAGGATGGATTTCTGGACTTCTGAAAAGTAGGAGAAATTTCTGAGGACCACCCTGGAATAGGGGCTGACACTGGGATTCCCCCATTGAAGTAGGACCTTTGAAAGAGGCTGAAGTAGCACAAAGTCAGCAGACCCCAACTTCTGGCTCCTGCCTGAAGCAAGTCTAAAAGCTCTCTGAGGAAATTATATTCAGTTTAGGCCCTGGATTCCTACACATTAAGATGAAACAGTGAACTCCCAAAGATCGCCAAACACACAAGGAGGTACAAGGAATGAGAGTCAACAGAAGAAATAGCAGATGTAGACTGCTAATGACTGAAGATGCTGGAACTGTCAGACAATAATATCAGTAAGCCCTATATTGAATGTTTAAAGTGTGGAATCATAGTTATGAGCAAGCAACAAGAGACTGTTAAGAATGACCAAGTTGATTTGAAAGAACCAAATGGCACCACTCATTATGATGCAGCTGAACATAGAATGAACTGGAAGATATATCTTAAGAAATTACTCAGAATGTAGCACAGAGAAATGAGAAAATGGAAAATAGATGTAAATTAAGAGATATGATGGATAGAATGTCAAGCTCAAATACACATCAAAGTGAAGTCCCAGAAAGAGAGAACAGAGAAAACAGAGAAGTCAGATTTGAAGAGGAATGGCTGAGACATTTTTAAAACTGATAAAAGAATCCATGATTCAAGAGGTATAACATAATCTAAGCAAACAAAAAAGACATTGACACCTAGACAAATAATGAAACTGCAGAATATCGGTGACAAAGACGTGAAAAGCAATCAGAAAAGACAGTTTACCTACAAAGAAATGACAAACGAGCTGATTTTTTGATAATAGCCCAGGTAAGTAATATTTTTAGAAACAGTAACTGTCAACCTAGAACTGGGGAACTAGTCTAACCATTTTTTCAAAAATGAGAGTAAAAAAACATTGATAAAAAACAGATCAATAACAAAGGAATTACTAAACTATATGCTTCAGAAAGAAAGGATATGACAGCATAAGGAGAGAGCCTGAAATGCAGAAAATGGAGAAAACACATATAAATGTAAATAAGTATTTATATATTTATAATACAAGTACTGAACTACCAACAAATGTAAAAGGATAAACACACACAGACATTAGAAGGGCCAGTTAAGCCCCAAGCAGGGAGCTGTGTTACGTGGTTCTTTGAGTAGAAAACAAAAGAGCAGGTAGTTCTCAGTACTCTCTATTTGATCTCCACGATGCCCAAATAAAGATTGTGTGGGCCCAGGATGGTGGCTCATACATGTAATCCCAGCACTGGGAGGCAAAGGTGGGCGGATCACTTGAGGCCAGGAGTTTGAGACCAGCCTGGCCAACATTGTTTGCTGTCTTTTAGTAGAGACAGCAAAACCCTGTCTCTACTAAAAATACAAAAAGTTAGCTGAGTGTGGTGGCACGCACCTGTAGTCTCAGCTACTCAGAAGGCTAAGGCATGAGAATCATGAGTTGATTGAGCCTCCGTGTTCAATCAGTTCCTCCTTGTTCCAGCCTCCGTGGCTTGAACCCAGGAGGTGGAGGTTGCAGTGATCCGAGATTGTACCACTGCAGTCCAACCTGGATGACAGAGCGAAACTGTCTCAAAAAATAAATAAATAAATAAAAAGTATGGATTTCCCTAACATTTGGAAGGCTCCCAAGACTCAGCTGCAAGATGCTCTAAGCTTAGATGGATTGATTGCTTCAAATAACTTGCTGATGTGTAAGGCTGTAGCTGAAAACCTGGGCCATCCAGTGAAGGATAAACAACAACTCGTAATAGAACCTTCATTTGGAAGTCTCTACTAAACCTGAATGTCCCAACTAAAAGCATCAAAGACCTTAAAAACATGTAAGAATGTTTATGTGTGCAAATAATCAAGCCTTTTCTGAGTAGGGGTTATAGGATATGGGTTACAGGATAGCCCAGGAAATCAGATTATTAGTTCCTCTTCCATGCTAATATCTGCAAACAATTCTTTCAATTCTAAAGCCAATTTCAATTCTAAAGTAAGTTACTACGAGCATACAAGATAAATTGGTCATTTCTTGAAGTTGTCCTGGGGACTGGTAAAGACCAGCTTTCAATCTCATCATGTAAACTTCTTTGCTCCCGTACTAGAGTTCAGGTCCTCATGTCAGTATCCCTCCAAGAATAGATAATGGCTCTTCAGTGAGCTGCACCAGTGCTTCCTGGTCCTTGCCTGCAGCAGGCAACACTAGCATACATCCTTTTGGGCTATCTTATCTGCCATCACACCCTCAAATCCACTTTCTAACTAGAGGGAGGCAATGCTGTCACTCTAGAGGTTTACTGTAGAACTCAACAAAGTGAAAGAAGCTTTGCCCAGATTCTTTCCAGGCAGTATGGGCCTAAACATAAGCCAGACATGGTCTTCCTAAGCTAACAGGAAGTATGTTTCTTTCTGGGATTGACCAGGGATGACCCAAATGTTTTGGTCTCTATTTTTCGTTCCTTAAATTGCCCATCCACTGATGTGTTCAAGTCAGAGTCTGTTTGTGACGATAAATCTTGGGAAGCAGAGCCAAGAGGAAGGAGAGTGAATGGTCTCCATGTACAGCCCTGTGACCACTGGAGGTCTTCCTCCCTGCGAGGGTGATGTGTGAGTAGGTATCTGGCTCAAAATATTAATGTTTGAAGTGTCATCATATCCGTATTTTAGTTCCTGGAAGGAACTAATTTATTCTAATTAATTTAGAATTTATTATTAATTTATTCTGAGTTCCAATACTGCCCTAATGTCTGAGCAACAAAGGATGATTCGTGTGGATAATCCTAGGGAAGCTTTGGTCGTGGCTAGCAAAGCAATCTTGGAACTGAAATTCCTCGGTATCCTTGCTTTGATTCCTTGAAGAGAATTGATACAGACTCCAAGTTTTGGTGAAGCAAAGAATTCCTGCTTCCTTGACTGTTTTTCTCGCCAGGACACAAAGAGGTATTGAATTTCACTATTAAGACCTTAATTAGTAACCTTGTTCGTGAAATTGAAACAAAGGTCTCACTGAACAGGCTGGTGATCTGGCAATGGCTGTTCCATGTTCTCCAAAGACCCAGAATCAAGGCTTGCCATGAAATCACTTTTCTTCATGACTAAACTGAATCTCTCTTGCATGTTAAAAGTTAGTCTTTAAAAAGCCGTGCAGTCAGAACATTGCTTTGTCTTACACATTTCCCTGTTACCTGTCAGGCCCCAAATGTTACATAAGCATTCTCTGCAGCTGTAACCCCCACCAGAAGAGGCTTGATTTGTTATTTGCACACATGATAACATGTGACATAAGTAAAGCTGGGAAGATGTTTGTAAGGGGTAGTGTCTACCAAAGCAGATAGCATTTGGTTTTGCCTAGCTTCCAAACATGGTTTTATAAGTCAGTATATCTTGTGAAACCATTAGGACAAGAGTTTGGAACAAAAAGAAATCTCAGGCTCATTGCAAAGCTTTTTTAATGTTTTCAATTCCCTCCACATTCTGAGCATTATCATAACGTACTGAACTGTTCTGTTCAGAGACCACTAGGGAGAGAAGATGAGGACCCAGAGCAGCCAGGATGTTTCTCCCTGGGATAAAAGCTCAAGCATTCAGACACCCTCACTGTGGGCTCCACTTCTGTAGCCAGAGGGGATTGGAAACAGCAGGAAACACACATGTTTTCCCCAAATATTCATTTTTGCAGTTGGTCCTTGCTGACTGATCCAGCTTCCCTGTCAGCATATGGTGAGCAGTTCGGTGAGAGGACCACACTTCCAATCCTGGCAGGTACGGGTCCACAAGGACCCTTCCAGGGAACCCTGGCTGCTAGATCTCACAAGGCTTAGGGAACCTGGCTTCTCAACTTTGCTGCTGCCTGTGTTTCTTCCCACCATCCCCTCCACTCGTAATTGGCCCTGTTTTCCGGCCTCACATCTGCCACTGTGCCCTTTCTCACAGGGATCCCAGAAAGTCTTAGATCAGTTACAGCCTGGGATTGGCTTCTAGCCCCAGTGGGAGGCATGGAATTCATCCATCAGGAACTCTTTACTGAGAGCCTACTGAGTGTCAGGCATTGCACTAGGCAACAATGATATGAAAGTGAGCAAAAGAAACAGTTCTCTCCTGTGGGGCTTCTAATTCATTTGGGGCAGACGGTTAAGAAACAAGAAAACAAAATCATAGGTGGGGATGAGTGCAAACAAGGGAATAAGCAGCATATTATTCGGAGAAAGTGTAAGTGATTTTTAAATAGGCTAGGCAGGGGCAGAGAATAGAACAGCAAAGCCTTAAAGCTGGACAGATCTGGACTTGCCCCAGGACAGAAAGGAGGTCAGTGGGCTGAAGCACAGGGAGCAAATCACAGTGGACTTCAGGAAGGATGGAGGGGCGGGGTGGAAGGGAGCCAGGTGTGCAGACCCTGAGACCACCCTAAGGAGTCTGGATTTTATCCCAGTGCAGAGGAAATTTACATTCGTGCTTGCAAGCAGGAGATGAGCTGAGCTCATTTTATGAGTTACAGGGGTGGCTCTGGCTGCCAGTGGAGAATGGTCTAGAGGGACATGTGCAGAATGCAGAGAGAGAGAGAGAGAGAGAGAGAGAGCAGTCAGAGGCCCTAGAGGTGGTCCTGGTGAGAGATGAGGTGCTGAGACCCAGGTGAGTCAGCGAGGATGAGGAAGAGAATGTATTTGCAGTCTGTTCTGGGGCAGAACTGACAGAGCTTGCTAATGGTTTGGAAATGAAAGATAAGAGAAAATCAGGGATGCCTGAGATTTCTGGTCTACAGTTGGGTGGGTGGTGAGAGCCTTAGGTGTTGGGGCCCACTGGTTGGGGAGCAGTTGGAGGTCAGAGTGTTGCTGGCAGATGTGGATGATCTGTGTGGTGGCCCCAGGCCCCTTGCACCACAGCCACTGGGACTCTTCACAGCTCTGGCCCTGCTGCGCTCTCTGCCTGATCCCCTGCTGCCCCATCTCAGCTTTCCCATCCTGCTGGCTCCTGGGACTCTTTCGAAGGCTTTGTAAGACTTATAGTGATGGCCTGGCCATCAGGCCCCATTTCTGCCCAGCACCACCACAGAGACTGCTATACCCAGTGATGACATCGTGCCCTAAGAATTTCCCCACATTCTCTTCAACTCCCAGACAACCTCAGATGTAGCTGCTCTCAGGCCTTCAATGTACATCTCCACCCAAATGAGTAATATTTGCATTACAAGGAGGAAAGGAGAGAGGGAACCATTGGGTACCTGCTGTACCAGGCACATTATATGCTGTTGTCCCCATTTTCCAGATGAAGCCAGATTCAGAGAAAGTGTAAGTGATGTCTACTATCTGTGAAGTTAAATGACTTGTCCAGGCTTATGCTGCTAGGGAGTGAGAGAGAGAGAATTTGAATGCACACCTATCTGACTCCACCTCTCATGTTCTTTCCACATGGCCAGCAAGCTCTGCTGTCCCACCTCACACTTCTGGGAGGCGGCTACCCCCTCTTTCTACCCCCATTTCTGGATCTTGACAAGAGGTTCTGCCCTGCCCCAGCTGTCAAAGCCTGCGGCAGCTGCCAAAAAACCTCAACACAGGCGTACTTTAGACCTCCATCATGTGTTGATGTCACAGATGCTGTACCAGGCATTTGACTCCTTGATCCATTTGAATCCTTGGCAGGATTCCTGGCCAACATGGCGAAACCCCATCTCTACTAAAAAACAAAAATTAGCTGGGTGTGGTGGTGGGCACCTGTAATCCCAGCTACTTGGGAAGCAGAGGCAGGAGAATTACTTGAACCCGGAAAGCAGAGGCTGCAGTGAGCAGAGATCGTGCCTCTGCACTACGGCTTGGGCTACGGAGTAAGACTGTCTCAAAAAAAAAAAAAAAAAAAAATAGTGAGGGGGATGCATGCCCACACAAAGGAATCCTGACAGAGGAACAATGGCTTGGTCCGTTTCTCCTCCTATGTAGCACTGTGATAAAGGAACGCCTTTCAGGTATGTGCCTTGATGGAGCCAGTGGGTGGAGGAGGAAGGGCAGTGAGAGGTTTGAAGACAGGCCACTGATACCCTCACGTATCATCACAGTGGGAGCCGGCTATGGTATACTCGTCCACTCGGGGAAGAGGGATTCTCTTACCCACAATTTTGTCTTCAAAACTGAAATTCCTTTGGGCAGAACCTAACAGAGAGTTGCCTCGCTTCATGTAACTGTAGCATATGTAGTGTAGAAGCTCCAACATGTTTTCGAGGCAGTCTGAGAGCTCTTTCTGAAAATACCAGGCAGATGACATCTGCGTCTGATTTTACTTTGTCTTACAACCAGGCTAAGACCTCCAGCAGCATCAGACTGTGGAACTGCTCAGGTCAAGGCAGACAGGTAGAAAGGCCCCCATGGATAGTGGTTACTCATTCCAAGAACACAGGCCCACACCAGAAGGGGCAGATGACGTTAATGGTGTGAGGCAGGCAGTTATGTCTTGTGACTTCCGTGAGCCATGATGCATTCCACTAAGGAACTTTTATCTCACTTGGCTTGTGACTTTTGTTAGTGAAAAGTGGCCTGCTGGCCTGTGCTGTGGAGGACTTGCAGAAAACTCCCCAGCCACCAGCAGAAGGTTCAGACATCTCCCCTAGTTCCTCCCCAACCCGTTTAGTGTGAAATGGCACAAAGGGAAACATTTCCTTTGATCTATTTTTGGGGAAAGGCAAATGTCAACTAAATAAGATCATATTAGGGACTGGGCGCGGAGGCTTATGCCTGTAATCCCAGTACTTTGGGAGGCCAAGGCAGGCATATCACCTGAGGTCAGGAGTTCGAGACCAGCCTCGCCAACATGGCGAAACCCTGTCTCTATTAAAAATTCAAAAAATATTAGCCAGGCATGGTAGCATATGCCCATAAACCCAGCCACTCGGGAGGCTGAGGCATGAGAATCGCTTGAACCCAGGAGGCGGAGGTTGCAGTGAGGCGAGATCACACCACTGCACTCCAGCAGCCTGAGTGATAGAGACTGTCTCTCTCTCTCTCTCTCTCTCTCTCTCTCTATATATATATATATATATATATATATATCCTATTAGGAATTTCATGAAAGCTCACACGTCATTCAGGGCCTGTTACGGGGGCCCAGAACATCAGGACAGAGTAGCTAGCCTCACATTCAGCTCCATTGCACTAGAGTCTTGCTTGCATGATCTCAATTTGAAAAACACAATGTGTATCTATATTTGTATCTCTTCTAATCTACTGTATATGACTTTTTAAAATATTGGTTTGCTGTTTCTATTTTGTGCTAATGCAAATCTAATTTGTTTTAGAAAAAGTTATTACTGTTTCTTGCTTCTTACCACGCCCTGCCATTTGGACTTTGTTGTCCATCTTTCTCTGCCTAATTGGACCACAGCCTGGTGCCTCAATCGCCACAAAATCTGTTCCCTTCTAGCTCAAGATGACTGCATTCTCTCTCAGTTCCCAGTACACTCACTGGCTGCTCATTCACCTGCCCTTGTGCTCTGTGCCTTTTTGGCATCTGCGGGTAAACTCGATACCACATATCTCTATCCTGTTAACTCCTGTTTGTATTGTCTTCCCAAGGGACCTCTCTTATGGCCATGCTGGGTTCTTCCCCTTACCCACATCTGCCAAACATAGAAATCAAGGCAACATTCTCAGTCCCTTTAAGGGAAGTTCCAGGTACCTAGCTAGTCCTACAACCAGCAATTAGGGAAGTTAACGAATAACCTGCTAAACAAGAAGACAATAACTTAAAAGCCACCCCAAGTCAGAGTCACAAAATGTTTGATTCCCTGTAGAAACTAAAGACAGCATCTTGACATATGCCCTTGCATTGCTTTTCAGAAACCAATTCCCACACCAGATGGAAAATGCTGACCACTGTCATAGACCTCAAAGACTGAAACAAAAAAATAGATAAGGAAGTTCCAGAAATTCCCTAGCTCTTAACTCATTATGGATACCCCCTCACTCCTGCTTTAAAAACCCTTGCTTATAAGCTAGCAGGGAGCTCAGGTGTTAAGTGCTAGGTACCCATTCTTGCTTGGCACCCGGCAATAAACACCTTTTTCTCACTACAAATCCCAGCATCAATGTTTGGCTTTTTTGGCATGCTGGGCGACCAGAACCAACCCCTTCTTTGTGTACTTGCATCCAACTCTGATGAGCCTATGTGTGTCAAGTTGGTCGAGGCCCTTTGTGCTGAACACCAAATCAACCTAATTCAGGTTGATGACAAGAAACTAGGGGAATGAGTAGGCGGCCTCTGCAAAATTGACAGAGAGGGAAAACCCTGTAAAGTGATTGGCTGTAATTCTGTAGTAGTTAAGGACTATGGCAAGGAGTCACAGGCCAAGGATGTCATCAAAGAGTACTTCAAACGCAAGAAATGAACAAATCTTTGGCTCACAAACCCCACAAACTTTTGAATGAAATCTACTTATATGATGTGACATACATTTCTTTCAGACATGGATTTTGAAATCCTATCAATAAAAGCCACCAGGTGAGACTGACAAGTCTGGTTTTGAGCATGTACCTGTTTTGTTTTCTGATATCTGCAAATTAGGGTGACCCAGTGCAGGCTCCTGACATTTTGACCATGACAGGCTGTCTGAAGCTTGGGAGCTCGTTGTGCCCATCCTCAGAGATGTCCGTGTGTGACACAGCAGAGACTACCCCAGAGATAACAGATGAAAGCTAGCAGAGTACAAGGCATAAATGTGCATGTCCTTCTGTTTCTTTTCTTTTCTTTTTTTTTTTTTAAGGGGCTGTGACTGAGCAGGCAGATAGGGAAGGAAGAATCAGATGAGGAGCAAGTGCTGGGTATTGGGGAAACAATTTAAATTTCGTACCACCCCAGAATTTCCTCTCCATAAAATATAGGAGAGAAAAAATTTTATTATTGAATACACATGAAACTAGTTATGTGTATCTTTAGCATTCTGCTAAGGAGATTGCAAAGACAGACATCCCACCCTTTTATATAAGCAAGCAAATAGGACCCATTCATTGCAAACATGTTCTCTAACTCAAGTAAGAGGACATGACAGCACCATTTGTCAAGCATAATTCCTCCTAAATTCACCTGGTGATTGGGGTGGCCATTTGTGTTCGCTAATTGCCTTTATCAAAAGGAAAAATAAAACTGAAGTCTCTAGGACAACAGGTAGTTTTACAACTTGGAGCCAGGTGCTTAAATGAAACTACTACCCACTGCCCTCCCACTGACAGTGGGAGGTAGGGAGCTATCTTCCTTGATGTCTACATTTTCAAAGAGATGGCTTCCAGACCCTTGCAGGAAGAGTCCTAGTTTGTAAAATCGACTGGAGCCTTTTACTTAGCTTTTTAAAAGATTTATATACATTTCAAAGGGGCAGCAAAATAATTTGCAATTTTTCTAAAGGAAATGCTCTAAGAAAAAGGAAGAAGCTCTTCCCCTTTTTGCATGGGCTTGTGGGGTAACATTCTGGAATTCATGAGGAGCATGAATTGGTTTCCTCCCTCCACGTGCTGGAGGGCACCGTGTATGAAGCTTGGCAAGGCTCCAGTCAGGGGTGGACAATCACTGGGAATTCCACGCATCAAAGGGACAAGGGACGATCACTGGGTCCATCCTATACTTCAGAGGGACAAGACCCAATGAATGTAGAACTGGGCCACAGTTTCTCTTGGTTCTCAAAGCACGCTGGCCCACACATGATAGGTTATCATTAAATGTCTGATGAGTGAGTGAATGAATGTCAGGAGCCTGAGAGATTTTAGAGGTTATTTACCTCAGCTGAAATTCAGGCATCCCTTTCCCTGGACTCTCCTTAAAACCAGCAGTGCTGGCGATCCCACCACTTGCCAAAGCAACCCATTTTACTGGATAACTAATTATTAAAACATTTTTCATATCTCAATAAGGAGAGAAAACAAAATCTTTCAAGGGCAAGGTACGTTTTTCAAAACAATCCCGAGAAGCAAGTATCCCATGTCACAGAGGAGGGAACTCAAAAACAGAGACTTTAACAGCCCAAGGTCACACAGCTAAAGGGAAATCACATGTATCCAGTGTTCTGCATCAGGCCCTCATTTAAATAAAGATCCTTTCACTCACAAGAGTTTACCATACAAATATTACAGCATGTCTAGATGGGGTCACCCCCTTTGTCTCCCAAGGAATGGAGCTGCCAGAGAGTTCCAGCTGCCTCAGATTCTCCCTGATCTCTCAGGGATGCTGAGTGTTTTCCCTCAAGCAGGGTTTTCACAGGCGAATGCCGAAGGGAGGCTAAGTATGGGGCCAAAATGCCCACAGCACATAGGTGTCATTCCAGGCAGCACTGAGGGGGAGCAGAACCAGGGGATGGCCCTTGGGGCCTTCCTTCGCAGGAACACCACTCACCACAGAGTTCCAGGCGGTCAGTGGGTCGTGTGAGTCAAGGGCAAGTGAGTGAATGACACTGATATGCTTCAGGTAGGGAGAAGCCATGGTGGGCAGCATTGGAGGGAGGGGAAAGGGGGTGAGGAGGGGGTGGAGATAGTATTTGTCTACTTATTCATCTGATGACTGTTTACCTACTGTGTGGCAGCTTTTCCAGTCCTTAGTCTGAGGAAAAACCCTATGTGCTGAGCACTGGGTTCTATTAGTTTTATGAGTATTACCCCATTTAATCCTCACTACAGACCCAGGAAGTAGATGCTCATGTTATTCCCATTTTACAAGTGAGCAGATGCAGGGAGAGAAAGGCAAAATAACTCACCCAGGACCACACAGTTTGTGAGTGGCAGCGCTGGGATTCTGGCCAGCAGTCATAGTCCACACTCAACCAGGGCCCTCTGCTGGGCAACTAGCGTGTGTGATTTGTGGTCTACTTGGGGAGCCAGAGCCTGTTGGGGGGTCCTGGGAGGGCATGGTCGGCTATGGGACAGACCATTCAACGATGTTGTTTGAGGAGCCTTGTCAGGTCTTAACCATACCAAAGCATTGTATTGCATGCCTCCACCCGCCCTGGGACTAGGACCAGGTCACACACTGCACAGGATTCCAGTGGAAACAACGAATAGACCCCTGCACACCCATGTGCATCAATGGAGGACTGTGGATGCTGTGTGCCCCCGCTCCTCCCTCCCAACAGCTGCTTCCAGGCATCTTCCAGCTGGGGAAATGGCCATTGCCCTCAGCCCACAGCAGACTTAGCCTACCCTTGAATGCTGCTGAAAAAAAGAAAGGACTAAATGTGTCCCCTGTTCTATTCCTAGTCCAGATTCTTAAGGATGAGGACACAGCATCCTGGGCCACTGTCACTAATACAAATTTGCCTCTGAGGGACTCTATGAAAGATAATTCTCCTGAAATTTGGAGAGTTGAATTAAGCTAGGACTGTGTGTGCCTGGAATTTGTGATGGCCACCTACCCTAGAGGGCCTCAAGGAAAAACCATGGTTCAGGACAACCCTGACAGATCCTAGAGTCTAGAACAGAACACCTGTTCTACCAGGGATAGATTTGAACATGGGCAAGGCCAACCACCAAGTTCATGGCCTATGTACAGCAAAGATTGCATTACATCCTGAGAGCTAAGCCTGGAAGCTCTTTCATCCATCTGTTTGTCCATCCATCCAACCATCCATCCCTCCATCTGCTCAACAAATGTTAGAGAATCAATCCCTGTGTCCGATACTGAGGCTGCCCTCAAGGAGCTTTTATAAAGTTCAGGGTACAGCCTGGTGGGGGAGACAGAGCACTGTAAAAACCTACTACTATAATCCAAAGGACAGGAGCAAAAATAGTCAAGAGGAGAGAAGACCGAAATTTCCCTGGTGGGTCAGAGAGGACTTTCTAGAGCAGGTGAAAAATCTGTGGGGCTATCACTTCACCTCATCCGGTGGATAAAGGGAGGACTTTCCAGATACAGTGGACAGAATGTGCAGAGGCAGGAGCCATGAGTGGCAGAGGCAGGGCAGGGACTGCAGGGACAGGCTGGAGCCGAAGCACAATGGCAATGATGCCATAGCCAAAGGAACAAACTGTGAGACCTGGGACTTGAATTTGGAGGCGGTGAAAAGTGACAACAAGGTTCTTCGCAGAAGAGTGATTTTATTCAACTTATGGAAGGTTGACCCCAGACCAGTGCTGCCGAAGTGTGGTCTGTGTGCTGTTAGCAGTTCATGGCGATGTAAGTACAAGAACTGAGAGTGAGCATTTAGAATACCTACAGCACTTTGATAGTCATTTTACTTTTTAAATTTTGAGCTGGCATTTTGCATGCCTGTTTATTCTACCTTTTTTTTTTTTTTTTTTTTTTTTTGAGACAGAGTCCCGCTCTGTCGCCCAGGCTGGAGTGCAGTGGCCCAATCTCTGCTCACTGCAAGCTCCGCCTCCCGGGTTCATGCCATTCTCCTGCCTCAGCCTCCCGAGTAGCTGGGACTACAGGCGCCTGCCACCTCGCCCAGCTAATTCTTTGTATTTTTAGTAGAGACGTAGTTTCACCATGTTAGCCAGGATGGTCTCAATCTCCTGACCTTGTGATCTGCCCACCTCAGCCTCCCAAAGTGCTGGGATTACAGGTGTGAGCCACCGCACCCGGCCTTCTTCTGTTTTTGTAATAGTTGCACTTTATCACATTTTACAAATGTGTGGGTCTGCTATGGATTAGAGAGAGGAGATTTTGCCACAGATAGTTTGAGAAGCCCAGCACTGCCACTCAACAAATGCTGGTGCATTCAGATGGTGAAATATTCTGCAGCTATTAAAGGAGTTAAAACTGCCTCCACTTACCTGGATGCCCATCTGTGACACCCTTTTAGGTTAAAAGGAAAAGAAAAACTTGCTTAGAACTGAATATGAGTGGTTGCAATTTTGTAACAATGATGTATATACATATACATTTTCATATATTTGTATGAACATAAAAGTTTTGAAGGATATTCATCAAACTGCTAAAAGGGTTGCTTCAGAGTAACAGACTTGGAGAAGGCAGATCAATTTTCTTTTAATGGAACTCTGTATTGTATCATTTGTAAAAATAAGCATGTGTTACCTTTATGATAAAAAAGTAAAAACCTAAAAAAGAAAATGTTGATGTGTGTTAAAATTTTGGATTTCTAGGCTCCACCTTTTTGAATGAGTCTCTCCAAGAGTGGGGCCCTCACATGTATAGTGAGAAGAAGCTCCCCGATTACAGGATGTTACCAAGCCCCGCTAGGTGTAGCAACCCTGCATGGTGCCCACCTGAGCCTCAGCAGCTCCTCCCCATCATGGGCATGATGAGGTCTCCCTGTGGGGTGTTGTGAAGACGACGGGACAGGCTGCAGTAGGCACTGAATAAATGTGAGTCCCTTCCCCTGCTGACCCTAAGGCTATGGGATCATCATCACTCCCACCCCGAAGCCATACCTGATGACTCCAGCCAGCACTCGGCCTGCCCCTTTTCTGAATGCTTTTTGATTTTAGCTTACATTTTTAGCATTTAAATGTTTCATTTAATTTGAGAAAGAGTCTTGCTCTGTCACCCAGGCTGGAGTGCAGTGGTGCGATCTCGGCTCACTGCAATCTCCACCTCCCGGGTTCAAGTGATTCTCCTGCCTCAGCCTCCCAAGTAGCTGGGATTACAGGTGCCCGCCACCACATGTGGCTAATTTTGTACTTTTAGTAGAGATGGGATTTTGCCATGTTGGCCAGGCTGGTCTCGAATTCCTGACCTCAGGTGATCCACCTGCCCTCCACCACAGCTGGCTTTTTCATTCAATTTGTATTTTGTATCTCTGTGGACAAGACTTCAAAGGTGTCTGTCACATACTTTCAGATCTACTGATCATCTTCTGAAAACCAACATCAGGGTTCACAAAATGGATTTAATCAGTTGGGCTCCCCAGTTCTTCTTCCAGACTCCACCCCTCCAACAGTGTCTCCAATGACTTCCTGGCATCACCGAACAGGTCCTTCACTTTGCCACCTCTGAGCCTTTGCTTGAGTGTTTTCTTTTACCTGGAATATCTTTTCCAACCCTGTACACCGACTGAGTCAAACCTTCTGTCTTCTTTTTGAACTAACATTTATGAGCTCCTATCATGAGCCATGCGTTATGCAAGGGACCTTCCAAACACTATCAGTCTATGTAACAATCCTGCCAAGTATGCTTTATTTTGTGCATGGGGAAACTGAGGCTCAAGAGAAGTGACCTGCCCCAGGTTTCAGTACCAGCACACTAGTGGAGCTGGGATTTGAACCCAGGTTTGGTTCTAACCCTGGATTCAGCTTCCTTGCAGACCCCAGCACCTCACATACAGCCCTGCAGTGACCAGCAGCTGGAGGGAAAACACCCTTGTGGCTTAAAAGCTGTGGCGCCACAGGTCATTCCACTCGGTCACACCCTGAAGACCGTAGAATTGCATTGGCCACAGCAGCTCCTAGGCACAGGATTGTCACCTCAGAGCACATGACTCCTCCTAGAGTTGCAGATTATAAACTGTTCTGTTTCCCTGTCCTCAGGCCCCTGCTGAAGTAGCCCAAATGCCAGGGACATTTCTGCCCGCTCCACTCTGACCCTAGCTGCTCAATGTGCCTGCCAGGCCTTGCTAGGGATGCTGTGCCAGTGTGAGGAGGAAGGTAGTCTCCAGCTTTCACCCCATAGAAGCTGTCTGCCTCAGTTTCCCTAACCTAGAACACCGCTATGACTCCTGAGTTGAAAAACACTGTTTACAGCATCTAGGCTAAAATTAGCAGAATGCCTGGGCTCCAAGCCAGGGAGATTTGGGGTGATGGGAAGGTGCAAGAGCACAGCCAGACAGAGCCAAAAGCAATAATATCCTGTTTGTTCCTACACTGCCCTCCCCACGAAAAAAACAAGGACAGCTGCATCAAGCCCTTTTGTTAAGTGGCCACACAAGCCGCACATTTCTTGATCCCAGGCAGGCATACCGGGAGTTCAGATCCCGGTCTAATGGTCTTCTCTGGTTCTGTGACATCCTGGAATGTGAAAGGGAGGCCTTTGGTTCTGTGACTGCCTCCAGCCTGAGCCCCCTGCGCTTCCTGGGCATCCCGGATGGACCATGTCTGCCTTTCTGCTGACTCAGACTTATTTCTGGTCCAGCCATTCAGTGTCCCTGTGTGTGAACTCCTCAGCCAGAGGGCAGGTGGAAGGCCAGGAGGAGGACCACATGTCATCTTTCCATCCAGAGAGCCACCCCAAAACAGAGGACGTCCTTGGGCTTGGACCAGCTCCACAGAACACACTGAACAAATTCTCACGATGCCAGGTGCCTAGGCCAGCAGAAAATGCCTCTCCCCTCCCAGTTCTAAGACAGCAAAGGGTTTGCGTTACCTCACAACCACTGGGTACACAGCCAACCTTAATGGGCACTCTTGGCATCACTGTTCTACTCAGCAAATAGACAGTCCTAGGCAGGAGATATTTAGAATCCTACTCTGTAAAACAGGCCTTTCCTAGGCCTCCTGTGATGAAGGCATGGGACTGTTACCAGACTTGTCCCTCAAGGGGTAAATTGTTTTCAAGAAAACAGGAAGCTAGGAGCCATCTAGTCCTTTTAAGTGCTGTGAAGAAGTGGGCTGCCTTCTTCCCCACCCAAGGGAGGGAGTCTCTGAGACTTCCCAGGCAGGGTTGGTGTGACCTCCAGCAGTCACCTTCAGCATGGGTTGCTGCTGGATTCCTGGCTCTGTGGGCAGGAGCTCCGAGAATGCTTGACACAGGCTCTACGGGGCTTCCTTTGGGAAGACAAATGGAGCCTGCTCTAGGCTATGGCAGAGATGGAAGCCCAGGGCCTCTGAGTTAGGGGCAAAGTCAGTCCCCCTCTGAGTTAGGGGCAAAGTCAGAAACCCCAGGACTCCTCATTCTGTATGGCACTCCCCCAACCCACAGTTTCCTTAGGAAAACTGACCTGGCTATGGGCCATTTCCTTGTGAGGTGATTTGGTCACGAGGCTGGCAGAGTCCATGGGGTGCATGTGGCACTCCTGTGCTTTGCTGGGACAGTGCCTTAACCCACAGGCATGATTAACTCCAAAGTCTGGGGTCTTTGGAGAAGGTGCCTATCAATGCAGAGGAAGTGAGGTGCTCACACCGCCAAACAAGGCCCAGAGCCTCCTGGAAGAGCCTGTCAGGAAGCCTCAGGCCACATGCTGTGGCCGTGCTCGCCTCCCTGAGAGGACAGACAGAACAGACCAAGGACACGAATTCAGAACAGAGAAAATG